GCCGCTCCCGGCGCCACCCCCCAAGGACCTGTCGGTCACGGAGCTCGGCGGTAACAAGTTCCCGCACCGCGTCTCCTTCCAGAGCCATTTTTGGTAGGCTACCGCCCGCTTCGCACTGCCCCGCGGCGTTCCATTGCCCGCACGCCCATCGTTTCATTCCCCGAGGCCGCGGCGGCATCCCTCACCGCAGGAGGCTTCACCCTGACGTGAGGAGGACCACCAGCTGAGCGAGCCGCACAACGCGGGAAGGAGCCACCTACCCCGCTGCCCCGCAGAGACGGAAGGATGACGCGTTGGTACAGGCCATATGCTGGACACGGCAGCCAGGCAACCTCAGAAGACAGCGAGAAACAGTCAAACCACTCATCAAAAACTGCCAGAAACAACTAAGCAGGTCAGACTTAAGTGTGAACAGTGTCTGGGAACTGACAGGAAAAAAAATACCAGAAACTTCTGTAAATCAGCACATTTTTTACACATTGTCTTTATTCAAATTTTTTGAATAAAACAAAGGCCTTCATGCCACCAGCACACAGGCACCACCAACTTCTTTGATCTTCTCCTCTGCTCTTCTACTGAAGAACTTTGCTTTCACAATTACAGGCTGCTTGGGCAGCTTCCCCTTGCCCAGGACTTTGTAGTAACCCTGAAAGATTAAAAAAAAACCCATTAAGTGTTTGTAATCAGTTTGCAGGCTCCTAGATTCAGACTTTTTAGCAGGCACCAGTTAAAACCAAAACCATGACCTCATTCAGTGTCTGCCTCCAATATAAAATGCCAATGAAAGAAAAATACCCTGCATGACCTACTGCAGTTGCATTTGTTCAGAGAAAAAGTGGAAATGGTAAACTGAACTTTTCCTGTAATTTAAAAGCTGGATGTTTTTCCACGATGCTCCATATACAGAAAACACCATGAAATCTGGTAAAGAAGTCACCAACCCTTCCCCACTTTTCCAGAGGAGAGAGCAGTTGGCTGCACTTCCAAGACTATCGACTACCCAACAACTTCTGGTTGGTGCTCTTTACCTGCAGGGAATCCCGGTGCTGCTGACAGAGCAGAGGATGCTTCTGCACATCCTAAATGTACAACCAAAGCTTTTGCAAGCTTCGCAGCAATAGCTGTTCTCTACCACTGGAATCCCCTCCTGTCACTCGTGACCTTTACGTTAAAAGGACAATCATGGCAGACGGTCCCTTAATACTACGGTCGCTGAAGTCATCGGTTGCTAGAAGTGGCGTAACCGGCCAACACGGTATCTCAATTTGGGACACCAAACATGCCCACGTGGCAGACTAGTTAGTGTCACTGATTCGGTGGCTGGCTGAGACATGAGACATCACAGCCAGCGAATAGGGATCAGATGTTTATGTCCGAGAACTATAGCACACCAAGACAATCAAACATGTTAAGATGTGACTCTAGTCTCGATATTGGAAAAATGACCCTATATAAATGAGACTAGTTCTGCCATGGTTTTACACATGCTTTCAGTAACATTTTAAACAAGTAATCTTTCACCACCTTCCAAAATAAAGGAAGTCCCTGTCCACAATCACAAATACAAGGAAAAAGTTCTTACAGGAAAAAACATCAACAGTGTTAAGTATCTGCGTAACTACTTATATGCCAAGATATTTGTCCTGAGAAGTTCACAAATATTCAAGCACTGTTGTTTATTTGCAGTTCACCATTTTCCTACTTGGATACGCAAAGCTAAGTTACACATGAAGTGACCAGGAACTGCAGGTTTGATTACGAGCAGAAACTTACTGAGCGCACAACATCAATGACTGGGGCCAGTCCAGCCTCGTTTTTTGCGTAATTGAGCCTCGTCTGTTCACTGACAAGCGTCCACAGTTTATCCAAATTGACAGTAGGACAGAACTTCTGGTTCCTCTTCAAGTGATAGTGTCTCATGCCTACTTTTCCAAAGTAGCCAGGGTGACTGTGAAAGAAACACACATCTCATTAAATCACACTTTTAATTCATCCTGAACAGGCAGAACTACAAAGTAACACCAAAACAAGCATCTTTCTTAATAAAAATGTCACATTATACTTTTATTTGTATTAAGACATGTAGTATTTAAGTGTAATAATCATTAGCATCCAAATCAAAGGAAAATTATTTTCTCTGAAAGTGTTTGTTCTCCCTTGAACTCCCAACTCCATCCTCATCGGTGAGGCCCAGCCCTGTATTTCTGTATTTCACCCTACCTCAGTGAATCCAGGGAGGGCTGCGCTGCCTGAGGAGCTTTAGTGCTGTCACTAACCTGGTGACTGACTGAGACAAGAATGGTCACAGCCAGTGAATATAGATTAGTGGTTACTGTCCGAGTACTCTAGCACACCAGGACAACAGGCAGCGTCCAGATGTGACTCTAGTCTCGGCAATAAGGAAGACAACATCCCTTACCTTTACAGTGTGCACCTAAATTGGATGGAGTTTGGATTTAACTTAACGTTTTGAATTTACATAACATTTTGTATGTGCATTGTTTAGCAGGGACCACAGTAACAAGCAAATTTGGTCAAGTTTACCAAATGCTGCAATGAATTCTTGAAGGCACCTGGTTTAAGTGAAAAGGTCTTTGATTTTAGGGTAAATGGAGACATGAGCTGACGGTAGCTATAATGCCACACTTCATGTTACAAGAAAAAATACACAGAATAGTAGGGAATTTTGTTTATTCACATATAAAAGTTACTGTTTCTACTTCAGGAACATACATTTTGCTTTAAAACATATGTATTTAAAATACCAGCTTACTATTTATCAAAGTTAATCCTGTGATGGTGCATACCACCAGCATTACCACGCCCTCCAGGATGCTTCCTGTGTTTGCCTAAAAAGAAAAATTAAGTTTGTTACACTAAAAATATACATAATACTTGAACTTAGAGGTACATTCAATGTCAATTTAAGCTAATTATTCTGATTCTATCCCCTCTTCTGCATCCATCTCAATTCAACAAGATGAGCCAACTAAAAATAACCCTAGCATGCCTCTGGCTAGCTTACAGGGGTACAGGAAGACACCAGTGCTAGCACAAGCGGGGTCACAAGAACAGGCAGGAATGGCCAGTTACAACGGACAGAGCTTTGCCCTGTAAGCTTAAGATGTGACACAACTGGTACCTATTACCTAAGTACTACTTAAGTTATAAATCCAGTGAAGTCTAAAAGAACATGCAAGACTTCAGATTAGCCCATCACTGTGGTATCTGCCCCCACAGCCGCATTTTTCTGCGACCCGTGAAGAAGGGCGGCGTCCCCTCAGTACTGTGGAAGTACCAACGGGTACGCACTCACTGCAGGCCCTCAGCCCACCAGCGGCCGCCCCT